TTTACTAAATGTATTTCAAAGACAAGGAAACAGGGTGTTTGATTCCACTTTCTAAGTCCGGGGTGCTGCTTCAGACTCACCTTACTGCGTACACTGCTCCCAAGCAACTCGTGAAATCGTGCAAATAATGAAATGCACACATTACGAAACAAACAGGAACTTTCCCTGATCCAAAGAGGTCAAGTCGTTACCTCTGGAACATGTTTCCCAACCCCAGGCTAATGCTTCATCTCTGTGTTCCAGCCCTGTGCAGTATTTCCTAAGCTTCTGTTCTCCACATTTTAGGAGATATATTTGTATGATAAGCTCGGCTGCAGGCCTGGCGTACAATTTACCTTTTATATATCCTGTGCACACTCCAAAATGTCTGTGAGCAGATTAATGGACTGTGGTTCCTAGATCGTTACATCTTTATGCATGCTAGTTCCTCAAACAGGATGGAGATGATTAATTGGGGGACTTTGAGATGCTGGATTCCTATCCTTCACTGCCTGCTGGAACCTTAACTTTAAAAATCACATCACCATCTGTTAGATACGTCTTCAGAAAGTGGATGGAGGCTAAGGAGAAAAAAAATCAGGAGTTGGCCTACTTGACACTTTCTGAAAAGTGAAAATTGTTGACCAACTTCAGCACCAACAAAACCTATGGATTTCAAGCATATGCCATTTCTTTTCTCTATTACAGAGGCTGCAAACTGACTTCCCCATCCAGAAGAAAAAAATAATCAGACACTAAATTCACCCTGAATTCTCAGCCTTTCCACATATTTAGTGGCATTTTATCTGCTACTTAATAAGCCCCAGAGCCCACTCACCCATAAGCACTGACAAAAAGCATCCACCATTTTCTACTGTTGTTCATCTAAAAGGAATTTTGCATTTCTTTTTCACTTTACTTTCAAATCTTTTCACAAGACTGGATTTGTTTAGAGTTTCTTGTATATACTTTCACATTAATGAAATGCCATAGCTTATGAAGTCCACACAAAGACTATATAGGATGTCTATAACAAAATCCCTGGTCCATTCCAAACTCATCATTGATATTCCCCTGTGCCTCCCAAATGGGCATAGATGTGACATTGTGGCCCATTGTGTGACCACTAATTACATTTAAAGTACAAAATCAAATGACAGCCGACTCTCCTTGGCAGGTAAGTTTGTCATAAGTAAATAGTGTGCATATTTACAAGAGATAGGCTGAAAGTTTGTGTTGTTAATATTAAAGTTTGCAGCTAATAGGTACTGCTATTCAAAAAATGGGGCTGCTTATGAGACAGGCACTTGTTTGGCCCATATTTGTTCTTTCCGGATTTTCAACCTCTTTTGTATAATGTAACTCCTGTAAGCAAGTAAGCAGTACCTCCAGCTACATATGAGCTGTTCTGCTCTGCAACCAAATTTTCAATTACCATCCTTAATTGCTTTGAGACTGTGCACTTCACACACTGCTAATTACCAACACCTTAAGACCTCTGCACAGGTCCCCTGCTATATTACCACCAAAGATGGCATTTCTAGTTCTAGTTATTATAAAATTCTGTCATCAGAAAATCTAAACACAGATCAAAGATGTAGGCCAATTCTTTAGTTGACAAAATAGAACAAGCACTACCAAATCCAATGTCAGAATCTAAAAATATCCATGCTTTATATTATGATTGGAAGTATCTACTGGCTTGGGGTCCCTTTTGAGCTAATATCATATTGGAGTTTTTAAATTGAGTTTTCAAATTGCTCACACAGTGTTTGCATAACTGAGGTCAAACTATATCATCAAAACAATTTTGTAAAACTAAGATCTATAGAACTAGTTGCCATTTGATATAAGCAGAGATCCTGAAAGGGACAGTCTCCACTAGAGGTCAGAGGAGCAGAGAAAGTAGGATCGCTTCTCAGAACTTCTGGATTTTCCCATCCTCCCAACCGATCTTTCTCATCCTTATCTACCCTACTGAGACTTGCTTAGTGCATCTGTGAGTTTGGGTCCCAGCTGTCACCTTCCTCACCTTGCTTGTCCTTATCCTCTGGGAGCTCCTTGACAGGAGAGCTAGCTTGTGCATGACAAATGTTCGTTACGCAGATCTTCATTCCAGATCTGCAACAGTAGAGTCAGTGGATAACCCCAAAGGAATAAAACCTACTTCTGCCCACAAGGAAGTTACAGCTTCACGGCTAAAATGTCATGTGTGCATTCCATTTCACTTTTACTCAGCTGCCCCATTGCTCTTCCCTATTGCTCCTCCCCTTCCCTTGATAGTTCCCTTCCACCTCACTGTCTCTCCTGCATCTGTGCACATGTATTCCGTTACACTCCCTGTGCCTCCTGCTCCCTGCCCTTAAGACTCTTCCTGGGTCTCAGTTCCCCCTTTGTACTCCTCTCTCTCTCTCTCTCTCTCTCTCTGTGTGTGTGTGTGTGTGTGTGTGTGTGTGTGTGTGTGTAAATTGTGTTTCACATATAAGGGAGAGTGGTTATATTTCTGAGTCTGGCTTATGAGGCATAACATAATGAGCTTGAATTTTGTCCATATTTAGTGCAGGTGTCATAATTTCATTCTTACTTACAGCTGACTAAAGTTCCATTATTCGAATGTACATTTTCTCTTTCCCTTCATTTGTTGGTGGACATCAATTCTGGTCTGTTTCCTGGGTGTTGTGAATAGAGCAGCAATAACCATTCAGGTACAAGAATCTCTGTGGTGTGCTGGCTTAGAATCCTTCTGGTGTGTACCCAGGACTGGTACAGCTGTATCCTATGATAGTTCTATTTTTAGATTTTCCTGAAGACCATCCATACTGACTTTCCTAGTTGGTGTACTATTCCCACCAACAGTGCATAAGTGTTCCTCACTACAATGGGCATAGACACAATGGTGTGTGCATTTGTATCACAGCACTGGGGAGGCAGAGGCGGGCAGATCCCTGGGGCTGCTGCCCAGTCAGTCTAGCCTACTTCACAAGCTCTAGGCCAGGGACAGACCTTATGTCAGAAACAACATAGATAACACCAGAGGAATGACACCGCAAGTTACCTCTGGCTTCCCGCATGAGAGGAGAGATGAGATGGAGAGGAGAGGAGAGGAGAGAGGAGAGAGAGAGAGAGAGAGAGAGAGAGAGAGAGAGAGAGAGAGATGGGGAAAGGCACAGAAAGGTCATCTTTCCCTACTCCCCACCTACATTTGTTATTTCCATCTCTAACAGTGAGATGGAATTTTCAAAAAGTTTAATTTGTGTTTCCCTGGTGGCTAAGGAGGTTGAATACTTTCTCAAATTTTTATTTGGCCATTTGTATTTCTTACAAATGAGCTTTCTAGTCATTTCGTTAATGCATTAATGACAGTGTTTAATTTTTAGAGTCTTTTGTGTCCTTGGCTATCTAGATATCAGTCCTCTGTGAAACGTATAGTTGGAAAAGTTTCCTCCCATCCTGCAGGGAGTCTCTTCTCTCTGGGGACTGTCACACAGAGGCTTCATGCTCTCACACACTCATGCACTCTTGTTTGTTAATTCATGGGATTATTTCCTAAACTTTTAGAGAAACTATTCAGAAAGTTCTTGCCCATTCCTATCTCTTGAAATATTTTCTGTGTTTTCTTCTAGCAGTTTTAGAGTTTTAGGTTTCGCACTAAGATCTTTGACATATTTGGAACTGGATTTTGTGCCTGGTGAGAGATGGGAAGCTAGTTTCATTCTTCTACTTGGGGCTTATCAGTTAATATCAAATTAATATGGCTACAAAAAAAAGCAAGGCCTTTTTTTTTTTTTATTCTTTTAT